CTGTGGCTTCCCTTTTTACCCTGTTGGAGAAGTTTTTGGATGTGCATAGGGATTTGATTCTTAGAAGGTCCCATTCATCTATTTTATCTTCTCCTAGCTCCAAGAGAGAAGCATATCAAGACAACTATGAGATACCATCTCACCACACTAAGACTAGCAAAATTTAACAAAACAGCAAGCAACAAATGCTGGCGAGGTTGTAGAGAGACTGGAACCCTTATTCACTGTTGGTGGGAGTTTAAAATGGTGCAGTCACTGTGGAAAGTGGTGTGGCGCCTTCTCAAAAAGTTGCAAATAAAAATACCATTTGACAGATGGTGAAAAGATTGACACTGTTAACAGCTTTAGTTTGCTTTTCTCCACAATCAACACTCTTGGTACCAGCAGCCAGAAAATCAAAAGATTAATTGCACTGGGAAAGTTGGCTATCAGGGATTCTCCAGAGTATTGAAGAGCAATAACTTCAGTCTGGAAACTAAGGTGTGCTTGATCCAGGCCATCGTCTCTGCAATTACTTATTATGTGTCAGAGAGCTGGACAATTACTAGGGATGATAGAAAGAGAACTGATGCCTTTAAGCTGTGGTTCTGGAGAAGAGTATGAATATACCATGGACTGACAGAAGAACAAACAGGTTCATCCTAGAGGGGCGAGACCAGTCTGTTCCTTGTAGACAAGGATTCTGAGGCTTCATCTGACATACTTTGGTCATGTTGCAAAGAGGGGCCAGTCCTTGGAGAGGTATATTATGCTTGGAAGGGTAGAGGGACAAAGAAAGAGAGGAAGTCCATTGATGAGACAGTTTGATTCAATGACTGGGGTAATGAGGGTAGATGTGTCAGAGACAGTAAAGTTGACACAGGATAGAGCAAGTTTCAGGGCTATTGTACATAGAATCACTATGAGTCACAAGCGACTTGATGGCACATAACAACATAGGGTCATAAGCAAGAAACTCTTTTAAAAAGTATAAAACATTCATAATTTTTATATTAGTTTGAATGGCAAATAGATTTCAGCATGTAACATGTTTATCCCAAAGAAAGTAACTTACCATAGTCAGAAAGAGTGCAGGCATGAGCGAATGAAAGCAGCATATCCAGCATGGACACAGTGTCAGACAGCTTATATAAGCAGTGAATGTGTTCGTAAATCTCGCTAAGCAGTTTGCACACTATCCTGAAAGTACAGATTTGGTAGGCATGTAATAATACTTTTTATTAAAGGGACAATGTACTTATAAAACAGTATTAAATTAATAGCCTGAAATAAAATATACTCACAGCTGAGTTACGTGCTATAGGTAAAAGCTACAATTCAACGGCTTCATTCTTAAAATGAGTAAACTGAAGTCCATGCTTAAAGTCACATATAATCAGCTCATTAACACCAGGCTTTTTTATATTACTGCTTTTATATTCAATATGAAGACTTCAGATAGATAAATTTAAGCCCTTACTACACTTGGACAGACCTAATTTATTAATAATTTTGAGGGTACATTATTTTAAGTTCCAAACAAAAGCTACTAAGTATTTTATCTTACTCTCCAATGTCTCCTAAGTCTTCCCTCACATACAGATACAAGCAAATATAACTAAGCTTTTATACAGCAAGGAAATAATACTGTAATACAATTTTTTTTCATTATTAGGAAAAATATGCTATTGTGATGGGAAAGTCTGCTGTTAAGGACCTCTCCAAAGTACTGAAGAGCAATGGTGTCTCTCTGGAGACTAAGGTGCATCTGATACAGGCCATGGTCTTCGCAATCACTTGTTATGCATCAGAGAGTTATACAATGACCAAGGAGGAGAGAAGGAGAATTGATGCCTTTGAGCTGTGGTGCTAGAGAAGAGTATTGATGGTACCATGGACTGCTAGGAAAACAGATTCATCCTGGAAAGGGTCAAACTGGGCGGCTCCTTGGAGGCAAGGATTCTGAGACTCCATCTAACATACTTTGGACATGTAAGGAGGGACCGGTCCTTGGAGAGGGACATCATGCTTGGGAGGGTGTAGGAACAGCGCAGGAGGGGAAGGCCCTCTTATGAGGTGGATTGATTCAGTGACTGGGATACTTGGGGTAGGTGTGTCGGAGACAGTACGACTGGCACAGGTGTATTGGAGACGGTGCGACTGGCACAGGAGAGAGCAGAGTTTAGGGCTGTTGTACATAAGGTCACAATGAGTTGCAAGCGACTAGACGGCACATAACAACAACAAGAAGGAAAAAATATGTACTTAGAGTATTATAATCTCTATGGTCCATGTCCTAAAATTGTTTTGAAAGCCCAATCTTCTTCTTTAACATCTCTGACAACCAATTCATAACATTCTAGTTCTTCTTTCTAGCTATATTGCTTCACTTTCATTAACAGCAAAATAACTAACAGTATTGTAGTGCTTATTGTAGTAAAAAGGATGATAGAAGAATTGATTCCCTTGTGGTGTGGTGTTGGGGAAAAGGACTGACTATCCCATGGACTGTTAAAAGAAGAGGTATGTCTTGGGAAAAGTGCACCCCGAGTACTTATTGGAGGCAAGGATAGTGAAGTTTCATTTCACTTACTTGGGCCTGTTACTAGAAGAGGTTATTCCTTGGAAAGAAACCTCAGGCTTGAGAAGGTGGAAAGTAAGCAAAAGAGAAGACTCCCAATAAGATGGATTGACACAGTGACTAAAGCAATAGGCTCAGGTGTGTCAGAGATAATAATATGGCACAGGATAGGACAAGACTCAGATCTGTTATTCATAGAATCAGTAAGAGTCGTAGTCAACTGACTGGCACCTAACAATAACAACACGGTGGTGTTGACAGTATCAAGGAGTTTTCAAGAATAGAGAATCTGAGGGCTCAGAGATCAAAAGAAAAGAGTCAATAAAATGAAGTTCAAGAGAGGTCCATGATTTCTGGGCCAAGTTTCTCATCCTGGTGAAACATTTACAACAACATTTCCATTACAACGGGGTTTTTGAATGAAATTTGCCCTGAAGTTTCTGTGAGGATCAGTGATTTCCAAGTCACAATGATATACTCTGAAATTTAAACTGTTCTTCCAGGAAATGTTCTTTTTCTGCTAACATTCATAACTCCAATTTTCTGCAACTAGACAAAAACCTCAATTAATTAAATTTAGCATAGCTCCTTCAATTAAATCCATTTCTTTCAGTATTTAAATGCTTCAAATGCTCTTACATGTAAGTCATATGATAGATTTCTCTCAAAGACTCTTGGCATCTTTCATTCATTTTAATTAAATCTGCCGATGTAAAGCTGTAAGAATTTTTCACTTTAGAAATCTGCTAGGAAATTAAAAAGACAAATGTCAAAATAAGAACATACTTTTTATTAAATAAAATGTACAACTTTTAATAATAGGAATATAGGTATTTAAGCTAATTGCTTCAATTTTTGAGATACAATTTCACAAATAAGGCTGTAGATACTGATTATGAAAGACAAGGAAGATTGCTTCAGGGGTAAAGCAGGATGTTTTTAACCTCATGTTTTTAACCTTTAGCTCATCTGACATGACTGTTTTGACAGGCTTTAAGCTAACTAAGCTAAAATAATGTCTCTTTTTACCAAGTAATATTTCATAATGGACATCTTGAATCTCATTTCACCCCTGACTTCTATCTCAGATGTCTATCCATTCATTCCTAAATCTCACTCAGGCTCTTCCAAACTACCAGGTGTTTCAGGAAGAAAAGAAAGACAGCAGTCTTCCCAACTCTCTACCCTTGTAACAGTTCTCTATCCTTGGACAATCTTCTCCCATGTGATTCAGTGCTCCTAAAAATTCACTGAAGGGTCACCTATGGGTTGGTTTGACTCAATGGTATATAACATGTTACATATTGTGCTACCAATTAGAAGGTCAATAGCTTGAATCTCCTAGTCACATTCTGCAGAAGACTTACCGCCTCAGAAACCTGAAATAGGGTTTCCATGAGAACAGACTCAATGGCAGTGGGTTGGGTTTGGTTTTGGTTACTACTTATTAATGCAGTGTACTGGGGAGGGGTGGGTAGTAAATAGTTTGTGCCAAAAAATATTCCTTGGGAGTTGTAGTTATTGTTGTTGTTATGTGCCATAGAGTTAACTGTGACTCATTGTGACCCTATGTACAACAGCTCTGAACCCTGCTCTATCCTGAGCCAAGCTTATTGTCTCTGATACACCTTACCTCTATTACCTCAGTCACTGAATCAATCCATCTCATTGAGGGTCTTCCTTTCCTGCGCTGTCCCTCCACCCTCCCAACCATGACGTCCCACTCCAAGGGCTGATCCTTTCTTTCAACATGTCCAAAGTATGTCAGACAAAGCTTCAGAATCCTTGCCTCCAAGGAACAGCCTCACTTCACCCTCTCCAGGATGAGCCTGTTTGTTCTCCTAGCAGTCCATAGTATATCCAATACTCTTCTCTAGCATCACAGCTCAAAGACATCAATTCTTTTTTTTTTTTAATTTGTGTGTGTGTACCATTAAATTAAATCTGACTGGTACAGAAGGAGATTGCCCCTCCTTCTCCAGCAGAGCATCTGATGGAATCAAACCACGTACTTCTGGGATTGCATCAATTCTCCTTCTATCATCGCTAGTCATTGCCCAGCTTTCCGATGCATAGCAAGGAATTTCAAAGACCATGGCCCGTATCAGGCACACTTTAGTCTCCAGACTGACATCCTTGCTCTTCAGTACTTTGGAGAGGTCTCTGACAGCCGACTTTCACAATGCAATTCATCAAATAAAAATTTATATTTTATTAACCAGTTACTGGTTAAAGGAGCCCTGGTAGCATAGGAGATTAAGAGTTGAGATGTTCATCGAACCTTCAAATCTACCAGCTGCTCGCTAGGACAAAGTTGAGGCAGGCTGCTTCCATAAACATGTACAGTCTTAGAAATGCTCCATGGCAATTGTACTGTGTCCCACAGGGCCACCATGAGTCATAATCAGCTCAATAGCAGTTGTTGAGTTTGGGGTTTTGGTTCAGTCAAATCCTATCCATGGTAAGCCATATGTTTCAAAGTAGGATTATAGCCTTTTGGAATCAAATTTTATTCAATTTTAACAGAATTTTCATATGGTTGAGGAGTTAATATGTACATAGAGTGGAAAAAAAAACCCAGTATTCCCATGGTCCAAAGGTTTGGAAAAGCACAAATTAGAAGAGTGCTCCTTGATAGGCAAAACCGTGAAACCTGGGCATGTTTAAAGTCCTTGGGAAAAGACTCTGCGAAAGATGGAAGGTGAGACAGAGAGAAAGACCCTCAACTAGATGGATTGGCACGTAGGAGAGATGGTAAAGATGATGCAAGACAGAACACGGTTCAGATCTGTTGTTCATAGGGTCACTATGTGTCTAATCAGTTTGTTGTCGTTGTTGTTGTTGTAAGGTGCCGCTGAGTACAACTCACAGAGGTAGCTGACCTGAACTCTATTCTATCCTTTGCCATCTTCACACTTCCTCACACACTAGAGCTCTTTGCAGCACTCACGATGTCAATCCATCTGATTGAGAGTCTTCCTCTCTTTTGTTGACCCTCCACCTTCCCAAGAATTATGATTCCTGCAAGAATAGCCTCTCCTAGCAACATACTCGAAGTATATGAGATGAAGTTTTATCATCTTTATCTCCAAAAGGAGCACTCTGGCTGCACTTTCTCCAAAACTTATCTGTTTGTTCTTTTGGCAGTCCATGGGACCACAGCTCAAAGGCATCAATTCTTCTTTCATCCTTATTCATTGCCCAGTTCTCAAATGCACAGCAAGAGATGAGAAAGATCATGTCCTGATTCAGATACACCTTAGTCCTCAAACTGACATCATTATCCTTCCATCATTTGGAGAATTCCCTAACTGCTAATTTTCCCAAAACAATACATCTCCTGATTTCTTGACTGCTATTACCAAGGGTGCTGATTTTGAATCCAAGTAAGATAAAGTCATTGATACCTTCAATCTTTACTCTATATCTATCATGATGTTGCCTATTGGTAAAGTAGTAAGAATTTTTTTTATTTTATGTGTGTGTGTGTGTGTGTACTGTCAAACTGGACCTGACTGGTACAGGAGGAGATTGTCCCTCCTTCTCCAGCAGAGCATCTGGTAGAATTTTTGTTTTCTTGATGTTGAGTTGTAATCCATACTGAAGTGTATCTTCTTTGATCTTCTGAAGCAAGTGCTTAAATTCCTCCTCACTTTTAGCAAGCAAGGTTGTATGATTGTATAACGCAGGTTATAGAGTCTTCCTCTGATCTTGATACCACATTCTTCGTTATAGAATCCAGTGGCTAGAAGAATTTGTCCAGCATACAGATGTAATAGATAGTGTGAGAGGATACAACCTTGACACACTCCTTTCTTAATTTTAAACCATGTAACATGCCTCTGGAAACTCTATGAACTTTGATAAACATCAATAGTTATAGAAAGGTTTCAGGCCTTTTGTTCATAGGTTCGCTAATGAGTTGTGCTTGACTCTACAGCAATCAACAACAATAACAACAACAGTATTTTCTTGCTTTGTTCACACAACAGCCTCTTGGTCTAGGTATGATCAGCATATTAGATTGCCTAATTAGGAGCTTCAGGTCCTCCTCAGTTTCAGTTCAGCCTACAATATGGATTGAGGTTCAATGTCAAGAAGACAAAGATTCTCACCACTGGACCAACTGGCAGCATCAGGATGGATGGTGAAGAGATTGAGATTGTACACAGCTTTAGTTTGCTTGGCTCCATAGTCAACAGTCTTAGCACCAGCAGCCAGGAAATTAAAAGGCGCATTGCCATGGGAAAGTCTGCTGTTAGGGACCTCTCCAAAGTGCTGAAGAGCAATGGTGTCTCTCTGGAGACTAAGGTGCATCTGATACAGGCCATGGTCTTCGCAATCACCTGTTATGCATCAGAGAGTTGGACAATGACCAAGGAGGATAGAAGGAGAACTGATGCCTTTGAGCTGTGGTGCTGGAGAAGAGTACTGAGAATTCCATGGACTGCTAGGAAAACAAATAGATTTGTCCTGGAGAGGGTTAAACTGGGTGGCTCCTTGGAGGCAAGGATTCTGAGGCTCCATCTAACTTACTTTGGACATGTAGTGAGGAGAGACCGGTCCTTGGAGAGGGACATCATGCTTGGGAGGGTGGAGGGATGGCGCAGGAGAGGAAGGCCCTCTATGAGGTGGATTGATTCAGTGACTGGGATAATTGGGATGGGAGTGTCAGAGACAGTGCGACTGACACAGGACAGAGCGGGGTTTAGGGCTGTTGTACATAGGGTCGCTATGAGTCGCAGGCGACTCGACGGCACATAACAACAACAAACAAATTAGGAGCTATTGAGAGTCAACTCAATAGCATCTAACAATAAGGTTTGGAAATACTGGATTAAGTTAAGCAAACACTTCAGAATTATTTTAAAGTTTATTATGCAAAAACACCTTGAGTCTTGATGCTGTATTTCCCAAATCTCTGTTATCAAAAGCACCTTTTGGACTTTTCTTCTCCCTTTTCATTTTTTTCTCCACATCAGAAATTACAATTTGAAATTTTTGTTAAAAAGTTTCGGCATTGTCGAGGCTTCAGTGTTGTTGCCATGGTGTGCTAGAGCTTGCAAAGAGTCCCTGCTGACCTCCTTCTCTGGCTGTGGGTCTTGTGACAGTCAGTCACTAGGTTAACCATACGCATCAGAGTGACCGGCACAACTGTTAGCCGTTCTGTTACTTATAATGTTAGTTATTTCTGAAAGGTTGGTTTGAGACAATACTACTTGAGGAGGAATCAGAACTTCTGTCCGACTGTCAACCTTGACAAATTATGCTTCCAGAAACATGACTGGAGCTACTACCACCATTGATTTGGTTCCACTGAGCAACTACAAAATTCTGGAGAACAGAAAGCTACACAAACAACCAGTCACTGTGAAGGCCAAATTATTCAGCAGAAAAGCTGAAAAGGAGATTAAAGGTACTGGGGGGCCTGTGTCCTGGTGGCTTGAAGATAAGTTAATTAATTCACGGAGGTTGGCTAATTAAATGTTAAATGTTTTTCCCTTAAAAAAAAAAAGCTTCTGCATCAGATTTCATATAGCTGTTAAGTAGAGCAAGCGAAAGTAGAAGAAGCAACATAAATAATAATAATAAATAATGATAAAATAGTAAAAAATTAAGCAGGTAAAAGGAGGGGTTGGTTTTGTTTTGTTTTTTAAAAAAGCATATAAAGCTTAAAGACTGCCTAGAAATATGTAAATATAACGCTATAAAATCAGAAACAATAACATCCTAACCAAATACTCTTGGATGAACCTTAATAAATTCCGAAGGAAGTTGATCACTGGGTAGGTGTATACAATCTGTACTCATTTGGATGAAAAATCCTCGAGCAGAGCTAAAGCTTGTCCTTAGAGGAAGATTATATTTTTCTCCAAGTTGGTTAATCATTCCTAGTGACCAGAAACAAGAAAAAAAAAGACATTTTATTAAGAAAATTACTCTTCCATTTAAAAAGTCATCATACAACTTTCTGTTATTTTTGCAAGAGTCATATTATTTTCTTAAAAAAAACACAACTCTAAAACTATATTAAGGGAGCTCTGGTGGTCTAGTGGATAAGGTATTGTACTGACAACTCAAAAGCCAGAGGTTCAAATCCACCAGCTGCTCTGCTAGAAAGACGGAAAATTTCTTCCCATACAATTTGCAGCATGTGAAAACCTGCTAGAAGGTCAGTAACCACACAATACTGATGCCTAATAGATGTTGTTAATCACTCTTTAAAGTGATTTATATTGTGGTACAAAAGCATTATTCTGATAGGTATTTAAGAAGGAAAATAAGTTGCAAAATTTAACATAAAACTATTTTAATATTCTATAGTACATGTTATATACAACTCATTCCACTTCTTTTTTAAAGTGATCATTAACTAGGTTTCTGTAATTATTAATTCACAATAAGAAATTCTCTCTAAAAATATATATTACAAAAAGAAAAATTTAAGGGAAAATATATGATTCACCAAATATAATTTCTAAACTGAAATCCCTATTATCAGCTTTAAATTCATTTCAGAGCTCTAGATTTACAAGTTGATAAACTACTAATACTTTGAACATTATCTGAAAAAAAAACTAAACATCTTCATTCTTCAAAACAGTTCTTCCTCCTATTTTCCTGCTTTCCTTAATGGCATCATCATTGTCAAGCCAGAAATTTCAATTAGCATGAGTAACTACATTTCTCTTTATCTCTGCCACATATATCTTATTATTAACTCCTAATAGATCTTCTTTCTTCTTAGTCCTCTCTTCTCACCTTTATTGCTTTTACCCTAAATAATGCTCTATTAACTTGTAAAGGTTTAACTAATCTCCTTGCTTGTTTACCTCCATTGAGATTCATTCAAAACATCAGCAACTTAAACTTCTTAATCTATTCTACTCTTCAGAACAAAAATGCCTCATAATAATGCTTGGGGAAGGATCCAAACTCACAGTTTTCAAAGAATAAATTCTGATCTTCGATTAACATTTCACATCTTATCTCTCATTAATCCTGGAAAGGAACTATATGTTCTCATCCTAATAAGTTTCTTCCTACATTCCTTGAAATTTCCTTGTTCCTCTGTGCTCTGTTAATGTCACTACCTGAATGTGGAATCTCTTTCTAAATTTACTACTTCATATACTGAAGTCCAGTACTCAAGCTCCACATCTAAGCTCTGAACTTCTATTTTGCTGTGTTTTCTTCACGTATTTTATAGTCTATGTAAAATTATATATTTCCTTATTGTCTGCCTCCCCTGTTATAACATAATCTCCATGAGAGCAGAGACTTTGTCTTAGTCACTTAAGTATTCTCTGTGCTGAGAGCAGAGCCTATGTTTAGCAGACTCTCAATAAATTTTGTTATGAATGAATTGCTGTATCAGTTAATATGTCTCACTTCTAGATAAAAACATTATCTTTCATGACACTGAAATCTTTTAGCACTTATAGCTCATATAACTCAAAGTGTTTTATGAGAGTAACTCTATATTTAAGTTCAGATAACAGGCACATTATATAAACTTGAACTTTTAATATTCCTTAAAGGACAATGCATTTCAACATTATCTGTTTCTAAATAACCAAATACCTGCTATGTCATCTACAATTTCTGTATATGTTCTTCTAGCTATGTCAAGAAATTCATTTATGTTGGACTTCACTGCATAGCATTTCTGAGTCCTCATATTCAGGCATCCTTTCATGTATCTTACATCATCATTAATCACTGTTTTAATCTTTTCAAGTATAATTCCAAATCTAAAAAATAAAATAATTGATAACAAGTCAAACAGATATTTGTATTTATTTTCTTGATGTCATTAGAGAAAACAAATTTTTAAATAAATAGTTAAGCTGAATATATAAAGTTTACTTGAATTACAACTGTGGTTCTATCAGTTTTAAACTTTATCACCAGTTGGGTCATTATCTCCTAAAACAGCATGTGCCCACTACGGGAAACTCTCTGCCTGCTAGCAGATAGGTTACCTCAAGTAAAAAATACATTCTTAAAGAATTTTTTTAAAACTCTGGTTTCATGATAATCATTCAATAAAAATTCACTGACACTTATCATATGCCAAATATTGGGTTATGTGTAGGGACTCTGAGAATAATAATATGGTCCCCATTTATCATTTAGTTATTGTTGAGTACCGTCAAATTGGAACCATCCCATAGCTGATAGAAGACATGTTAAACATGTAAGACAATGTAACAAGAACCTCACAGCTATCAGTGATCAAGTCACGAGAAACCTGGTCACTCATATTTTCCTAATTTTTTTATTATATTCTTTCCTTCATTTCATTTGTACTTAACATAATTTTAAATATTAACCATAATTTATAGTTTCACATAAACACCAAAAATACCAAATGAGTTATGAGATGACATCAATGATTCATGAAAAGTGCTTAGGTAGCAGAGAAAAAAAAGACCAAAATGGATATCAGAAGAGACTCTGAAAATTGCACTAAAGCATGAAGACACCAAAACAAAGACATGCAGAAGTAAAAGATATGAACAGAATATTTCAAAGGGTAGCCTGAGGAGACAAAGCAAAGTATTATAAGGGAATATGCAAAGAACTGGAGCCAGATAATAAAAAGGGAAGAACTCAACCAGTATTTTTCAGGCTTAGAAAACAAATGGCAAAGATTCTCATCACTCGGACAAATGGCAGCACCATGATAGATGGAGAAAAGACTGAGGTTGTTAAAAATTTCAGCTAGCTCAGTTCCACAATCAACAACTCTTGGAACCAGCAGTCAGGAAATCAAAAGACAAATTGCTTTGGGAAAGTCGGTTATCTAAAGGGATGTCTCCAAAATGCTAAAGACATCAGTCTGGGGACTAAGGTGTGCCTGATCCAGGCCATGATCTTTGCAATTACTTAATATGCATCAGAAAACTCTACAATGACTGAGAACGATAGAAGAATAATTGATGCCTTTGAGTTGTGATACTGGAGAAGAGTAATGAACATACCATTGACCACAAAGAGAACAAATAGATTTGTATTGGAGAGGGTGAAACTAAGTTTGTCCTTGGAGGCTAGGATTTTGACGCTTTGTCTCACATACTTTGGGCACGCGACCAAAAGGGACTAGTCATTCAGAAAGGACATCATGCTTGGAAAGATGGAGGGACAGGGCAAGAGAGGAAGACCCCAGATTAGGTGGACTGAAATGGTAACTGGAGTAATGGGGATAGGTGTGTCAGAGTGAGTGAGACTGGCTCAGGATAGAGCAGGGTTCAGAGCTTTTGTACACAGAGTTGCTAAGAGTTACAGGTGACTCCACAGCACATAACAACAACAAAAGGAATTACTCAGGAAGTGTCAAAAGAAGATTGAATGAATACAGAGAGTCACTATACCAAAAAAGAATTTATCCACACTGAAGTATTTCAGGAAATAGCATATAATCAAGAGCAAAGGCAACGAAGGAAGAAGTTAAAGCTGCACGGAGAGCACAGTAAAAAAAAAAAAAATGAGGCCCCAAGGGAGCTCTGGTGGCCTAGTGGCAAAAAGCTGTGTTGCAATCAAAAAGGCACATGGTTCAAATCCACCAGATGCTCTGCTGGAGAAGGAGAGACAATCTATGCCAGTCAGATCCAATTTGACGGCACACAACAAAAAAAATAAATAAATAAATAAATAAAAATAAGGTGGGATAACAATTCACATGTCTTGACATGTTTCAACTAACAAAAGCAGTCTTGAACATGTTCATTAGTCTTTGCCAGGAAATTTGGAAGACAGCTATCTAGCCAACTAACTGGAAGAAATATGTATTTGTCCCATTCCCAAGGAAGGTGATCCAACAGAATGTAAAAATTATCAAACAATATCATTAATATGACATGCAAGCTAAATGTTGAAGATCATCCAAAATTGACTAGAACATTATTACATTGGCAGAGAACTGCCAAAAGTTCAAGCTAGTTGTACAGTAGGTCATGGCACCAGAGATACCATTGCTGATGTCAGATGGATATTGGTAAAAAGTAGAGAACATCAGAAGAATGGCTATCTGTATTTTATTGACTATGCAAAGGCTGTGTGGATTATGACAAACTATGGTTAACACTGAGAAGAATGGAATTCCAGAATATTTAATTTTGCTCATACAATGTCTGTACCTGGGCCAAGAAGCAGTTGTCCAAACAGACCAAGAGAACACTATATGGTTTAAATTCAAGAAAGAGTGCATAAGAGCTTACTGTATCCCTTCTCTATACTTATTCAAACTATATGCCGAGCAAATCATTCAAAAAGCTGGACTCTATTAAGAAGAATGTGACATCAGGATAGGAGGAAGAGTTATCAACAAGCTGCGTCATGCAGATGACATAACCTTGCTCGCTGAAAGTAATGTGGACTTGAAATATTTGCTGCAGAAGACTGAAGATTACAGCTTTCAATACAGATTTTCATCTAACCATCAGTAAGATAAAATTCCTCACCACCAGATTAAAAGGCAGCATCATAATAGAGAAAAGCCTGAGGGGTCACTTATTTCATCTTATTTGAATCCAGGCTACGCTCTTGGCACCAGCAATCAAGAAATAAAAAAGATGTGTGGCCTAGTGGCAAGAAGCTGCACTGCAATCCCAGAGGTCTGCCATTCAAATCCACCAGATGCTCTGCTGGAGAAAGAGGGACAAACTCCTCCTGTACCAGTCAGATCCACTTTGACGGTATATACACACACAAAAAAAATAATAATAATAAAAAATGTAAAAAAAGAAATAAAAAGATGCATTGAGAAAGTCTATTCTCAAGGACTTCTCCAAATCACTGAGAAGCAATGATGTCTATTTAAAGGCTAAACTGTACCTGATTCAGGCCATGGTACTTTCAGTCATGTGCTATGCTTTGGGTGGAGAGTTGGACAATGAACAAAGATAACAGAAGAATAGATGTCTCTGAGATTTGGTGTTGGGCAAGAGTACTGATCTTATGGACTGCCAAAAGAATAACAGGTATATCTTGGAGAAGGTGCATCTTACATGTAAAGATGATGAAGCTTCGTCTCACTTATGTTGGGCATTTGTTAGGAGATGCTATTCCTTGGAAAAGGAAATTATCCTTGAAATGCAGGGTCAGTGAAAGAGAGGAAGACCATCAATGAAAGAGACTGACACAGTGAACGAAACAATGGGCTCAAGTATGTCAGAGATGATGAGGATAGGGCAGGGTTCAGAACTGTTTTTCATATAGTCACTACGTATTTTACTAGATGGCACATAACAATAAGTAACAAATTTGGGGGGGGGATAATACAACAGACTGCCATTGCTGAAAACAATATTATACTTAAATTGTTCAATAATTAGACTGTATTAACTATACAAATTATTTTTTGTAGTAGGTCTTAGTGAAAAAAGATATAGACCATTTTTTGTACTTGCAAATATTCTTTGCATTGAAAGTAGCTTAAAAAACATTGATGTTGTGCATAGATTTCTATTTTCTAAACTATTCTAATTGTATGTTAGCAGAAATTAGCAATACTACTATTTAGTATTTTAGTATTTGTATTTATAATACAAAATGTATACTTGGTATTTTTTAAAATAGTTTAAGGATTATGTTAAATAAAGCTAGAGTTCTGCTGAATACAATTAGAGTCCCTAAAATAATTAACCAAACAAAAGGAACAAGCCAGTATTTTATTAACACTTCAATGACAAAGACCTGCTATCTTCCAAGGAACCATAGTAAGCTCTTAATAAAGGTGTGTTACAGTTCTTCAGTGCAATCTATTAGAGAATAAAATAAAAATAGTTAGGATAATATAGTGTGACATGATCAAAACATATCATTTACATTTATTTAATCCTTTGCCAAGAACTTTCTTGCCTCCATTTTTTCATTTATAGACTTGTTACAAACATTTTAGGCAAAGAAGATGAGGAAGCACAGTATATTTTTTCAGTTAGAGAGAATACCATTTTAAGTGGCATGTACTACTTCACTACTGCAGCTTATTTTTCTATTGTCTTCTAACCAGTTAATGCTTAGTGACTTATTAGAACTAGGTTCTTAGTTCACACATTTACATACTGAACTTAAAACTCAAAATTTTTACTGTATAGGTATTAAATGTAAAAGGTTATTTTCATATTTATAGAGCCATTTTAACATGTTTATACAGTAAAAGTATGGATTTTACTTTAGCTTTTGTTTTAACTTACTTTTTTACCATTATTTGAGTGAAAAAGTTTACAAAGCACAGTGATTTTTCACTTAACCATTCATACACATTGTTTTATAATATTCATTAAAATACCCACCATGTAGGAGCACTTTCTCTACCGCCTCCCTATAATTCTGATTTCTGTTGACTCTTCTATCCTCCCTTTCCTGCCTTCAAGGCTCTAGCCTTAGGCAAATGCTGCTCTTCAGGTCTCACATGGTTGATTGGCCTGAGCTGTAAGAGCTTCCTTCCCTCATGTTACTGGTTACCTTGGAGAACCTGTCCCTTGTTTGAAGGATGATTAAGGACCACATCCTGGGATGTTCTACTTGCTTCCAGTGGACCAATAAGTTTGATCTCTTTTATGTTTTTAGATCTTTGCTACATATTCTAAAAGAAGATCTTCTTTTGACACTTTAATAAAAAAAATAACCTTACAGAGTATAATATTTAAAATCAGTGATATAATAATTGTATAACCATAATGTGAACAGATATTTCAGTTAAGCATTATCAATGAATACTAAAATTAATGAATGGAAGTTTGATATTGTTTTTGATAGGTAGCATCAAACTAAGTTTGGCTCATGGTCACCTCATATGACAGAGAAGAACTGCCTTATAGGGTTTTCTAGGCTATAATCTTTATAGGAAGGAGCTCTGGAGACAATGGTTAAATGCTCAGTTGCTAACCAAAAGTTTGTGCTTGGAAACCCATCAACCACTCCATGACACATGGAAGTCTGCTTCTCTGAAGATTACAGCCTTGGAAATTCTATGGGAACTTTGTACTCCCTTTTTTTTAAGGTATATTGCCTCTAAACTCTATGAACTTGGAGAAACAATGACAGTTACACAAGAGTTCAGGTCTTTCGTTCATAGGGTCGCTATGAGTCATCTACGACTTGACAGCACTTAACAACAACAAAGAGAGGGCTCTGTGGGCCTGGCGGCTAGAAAATTATGCTACCAAGTCAAAGGTGGGTGATTTTAACCTGTAGCCCTTAGGCCTGGTTTTAATTGTTTTTGATCAAACATTCTGCTAAGTGGTATAGCACTGGTCTGTCCATATGCTGTACAGAGGTAAATGGTGGTTGATATGATGTTGAACACTGTGACATTGATATGTCAAATGCAATAATGGTTACCCATGGTGGAGAGTGTATGGGGAGCTCCCCAATTAAAACAAGCTTGGAAGCAGGAGTGGCATCCACTTCTGAAATAGCTTGCCTCCAAAAATACCTTGGCCCTGGAAATTCTATGAACTTGGAAAAAGGATGAGTGTTCAGGTCTTTCCTTCATAGGGTCGCTATGAGTTGTCTATGACTCGATGGCACTTAACACCACCACCACCAACATATAATTTTAATTTTGTTCTTTTGTATTTCTCTTCTCTATTTTAGTTGAAACCTTGGAAATTTTGCTAATATTATCAATAAAACTTTACTCCATTCTTTAGAACCGAAAGTAACTCAACAGTAAGGGGTTGTGACTAATCTTCAGAGATGCAGATGACCAGATCTTCTCCTATGGTGTTGCTGGGTGAGTTCAGTCCACCAAATTTGTGGTTAACAGCCAAATAAATAACTATTGCATCATTAAAGTTCCTTGAAACTTTGACAAGGAATATTCATTCATAGTCTCAAAGAATCACTCCATAGATTAGTTACTAATTACAAAAGAAAATATAGTAACTTTGCAGTAAAGAAATAAAGTTAACATCACCAAGAAATATATAATTACCTCCTGATATGATATACAGAAGAGGAAACAACATTGCATCTAGAATATTACTGCTGAAATACATAAACCAAATCTTATCATTAGGAGACAGCTGAAGTGAAATGAAGTAAAAAACACTATAGAAAAGAATACTCACTCTTAAAATGCCACTATCAGAAAAGATTTCTAAATAGCTGAGAAACTATTCTAGCCATATGGTGTCTGAAGAAAATATGGTATGACAATTCATGTTAGTCAACTGGATCTTGAAGCAAATGAAACAAAATGCTGTAAGAAATATTACTAAGATAATCATAAATACTTAAATATGAACTACACATTATATAATAGTCTATCAGATATTATTCTATTAAATGCCCTGAACCTGGTAATTATATTTATAAAAGGAACATCCTTTTTCTTACAAGGTCCATAAGTTAGCATTTAGATACCGTAACTTGCTCTCAATTGATTCAGGAATAGTAATAATAAAGATAATACTATTATATGTCCATGTGTTCCCTGAGTACAGACATAAAAGAGAAAAAATGTGGCAAAATAAAACTAAGTGCCTAAGTGAAGAATATTGGGATTTATTTCTACCTTTTTACTATAAGTTTGAAATGTTTTAAAAAATACTTTTGTCCAATATTTCTTCTACAACATATTAGGTTACCTTTAAAGGATCCACAAGCTCCAAGATATGTTTTAAGTATATTAAATTTGTTATCTTTGATTCAGCTGCATTAACCTATCAAGACAAAAATTCAGGTATAGATACTATAAACATTAAATACAAAAAGGGTTTTTCCTTGAACATTTTATGCTTATCATAGTCTCTATATATTTTCTTATTATCACATTAGCCAGCATTCCAGCCTGGAGGATGATGCTGACTAATAAGCCGACTAATAAAACAGCCTCATGAAAGCCTCACAATAGAAGAGTTCACTTTATTGTATCAAATTTTGATTTCTACCGCAGCCTCTGATGTCTACCTTAACTCACAGTAGTTACAAAAGATACTATTCAATCTGAAACAACACAAAAGGATGAAGGTGGGAAAAGGTATAAAAGGTATTTCCAGACAATATGTAATGACAGATAATATCTAAAAAGCTAAACTACCAAGCTTCTTATTGAACATTCATTTCCCTGATTCATTTCTGTGTATATAAGTAAAAAAGTCATAATTCCTATCATCCAAATTAATATATTTTCAAAACGATGCCACATTAACATTTTAAATTTTAGGAATAAATTTTACAGTTAAATTATAAATCTCTAAAGCCAAATGGTGGATACTAGATCTGGAGAAATAAGGAATGCTCTTGTGGAAAGAACAACTTGCTAACACTGATGAAGAAGTTGTTGCTGTTATGTGCCAACGAGTCGCTTGCGACTCATAGCGACCCTATGTACAACAGCCCTAAACTCTGCTCTGTCCTGTGCCAATCTCATTGTCTCCGAAACACTCGTCCTGATTGCCCCAGTCACTGAATGAATCCACCTCCCAGAGGGCCTTCCCCTCCTGCGCCTGCCCTCCACCCTCCCAAGCATGATGTCCCTCTCCAAGGACCGGTCTCTCCTTACAACAGGACCGAAGTATGTCAGATGAAGCCTCAGAATCCTTGCCTCCATGGAGCAGCCCGGTTTAACCCTCTCTAGGATGAATCTGTTTGTTTTCCTAGCAGTCCATGGTACCCTCAACACTCTTCTCCAACACCAAAGCTCAAAATCATCAATTCTCCTTCTGTCTTCCCTGATCATTGTCCAACTCTCTGATGCATAACAAGTGATTGCAAAGACCACGGCCTGTACCAGATGCACCTTAGTCTCCAGAGACACACCGTTGCTCTTCAGTACTTTATTGAGGTCCCTAACATCAGACTTTCCCATCGCAATACGTCTTTTAATTTCCTGGTTGCTGGTGCCAAGAGTGTTGATTGTGGAGCCAAGCTGACTAAAGCTCTAAACAATCTCAATCTCTTCACCATCCATCCTGATGCTGCCAATTGGTCCAGTGGTGAGAATCTTTGTCTTCTTGACATTGAGTCTCAATCCATATTGAAGGCTGCAGTCCTTGACCCTCTGCAGCAGGCACTTCAGGTCCTCCTCAGTTTCAGCAAGCAGGGTAGTGTCATCTGCGTAACGCAGATTGTTGATAGATTTTCCACCAATACTGATGTCGCATTTCTCCTCATAGAGCCCAGCCTCCTGGATGATCTGTTCTGCATACAGGTTGAAAAGGTATGGAGACAGGACACATCCCTGGTGTATGCTCTTCCCAATTTTGAACCATGCAGTGTTTTCCTTGCTCTGTTCTGAGGACTGCCTCTTGGTTCAAGTATAAGTTTCGCATAAGCACAATCAAGTGTTCTGGGATTCCCATTCTTCTCAGGCAGCCACAGTTTGTTACGGTGCACACAGTCAATATTATAATTGTGCTGTAATATGCTTGATATGTAGCTGTTTCTTTTAGAGGTTTCCTGGCCAATCCATGTATCTACTGAACAATACTTCAACCACTCTGTGACTATAGTTAAAGAAACAGCAAAACGAAAAGCTCAGTTCCCACTAGTTATACTCTCTTACAATGAAATACAGAAATACACAGATAAAAGACCATGTTTATGCAAGTTTAAAAGGAGCAACTGCAAACTGAGGAAGGGCAATTCTTACTTTGACCATCTCATAAAAGGAAACTTTCCCTATTAATAATATCCACGATGTTGTTGTTGTTGTTGTTGTTGTTGTTGTTGTTATGTGCCATCAAGTCACCTACAACCCTAGCAACCCTATGTACAACAGCTCTGAAGCCTGCTCTGTTCTGAGCCAGTCTCACTGATTCTGACACACCTACTCCCATTGCCCCAGTTACTGTATCTGTCCATCTTATCCAGGGTCTTTCTCTCCTGGCTGTCTCTCCATCCTTCCAAGCTTCATGTCCTTTTCTAAGGACCAGACCCTCCATAGTGCCAGACAAATTGCTACATGGTCACACATGCCTCCCCCACACCCCATACTCCTATACCTATTTCTACCAATCATTGGGTTCAATTGTTCATTGCAAACTGACTCATAGACTTTGCTCACAGTGGTTAAGTTTTATTAAGGAGATAGGTTTAGGAGTGGGAGAGGAAAAGAATATCACCAATACAAGTTCAGGTTTAGTCCAACAGTCCCAAAACAGATTAATAGCAAGACACAATTCCTCTATTAATCAAAGTCCAGGTTCAGTTTAGCAGCACAAATGCAAGGAGCCTCTGGTTTCCTCAATCATCCAGCAAACTTTATTTCACAACATCTACAAATCAGCTCTTTCTTCAATCACCCACAAGCAAAACCTTTAATTGTGGCTTCATCTCCATGGGTTCTCTGGTTAAACCTTGCCACCATCTCTCTACAGTAGTGTCACAGTCTGTTCACAAGAGTGCCAATCTCTTCGCCCTCTTTCCACCACCGTTATTCAATGTAGAAAGTGTTCTCTTATACTGGGCCCACAGCTACTGATGATTTTCAAGACCACGTGTCCACAGTTAAGGTAGCTGGATACCACACCTCCTCAATGGGGGCTAACATGATTGTTGTTGTTATGTGCCATTGAGCCGCTAGTGACTCAGCGACCCTATGTACAACAGCCCTAAACCCTGCTCTAACCTGTGCCAATAGCACTGCCTCTGACACACCCATCCCGATTACCCCAGTTACTGAATCAATCCATCTCAAAGAGGGTCTTCTCCTCTTGCGCCGTCCCTTCCACCCTCCCAAGCAAAATGTCCCTCTCCAAGGACCTGTCCCTCCTTACAACATGCCCAAAGTATGTCAGACGAAGCCCCAGAATCCTTGCCTCCAAGGAGTAGCTTGGTTTAATCCTCTCCAAGATGAATCTGTTTGTTTTCTTGGCAGTCCATGAAAGCCAATGATCAAGGGTTCTGATATCCCATATACACACATACACAGACATCGCTCTCATCACCACTACATCAGAACCAACTCATAGCTGACACTATAGCTGGTTTTCAAGAGGCTATAAACTGTGTAAGAGGAGATAGTCCATCTTTCTCCAGAGAGGCTGGCACGTTCTAACCACCAGATAAACAGATATATGGGAGCTCGGGATTCAAACCATGAGAGTGGTGCTACCTATGGGTTAGCAGCACAACTCCCTGCAATAAGGAAGTAAGGAAACATCTCTCTCTCTCTCTCTCTCTCTGTGTGTGTGTGTGTGTGTGTGTGTGTGTGTGTGTGTGTGTGTGTAAAAGGGAGCTCTGGTGGTTTAGTGGCAAAGAGTTGCACTGGTAACTCAAAGGCAGGTGGTTAGAACTCACTAGCTGACCAATGAGAAGAATAAGCAATTCCTCCTATGAAATGTATAGCCTCTGAAAACATACTGGACGGTCAACTATGAGTGTCTGACTTGATAGTAATGAGGTTTTCTGGAGGTTTTGGTTTTTGGTGTTTTTTTTTTCTTTCTAAACTTTTCATTCAAAGCACAGTTAAAAGTAAAACAAACAAAAACTCCTCCTAAAAAGTCTGAAGCTAAAACAGTTTCACTGGAGAATACTGTCAAACATTCATAAAAGAGCTTATAGCAATTTCACTGAAACTATTCCAGAACACAGAAAAGAATACTCCTCATTTCCTGAAGCAAGAATCACCCTGATGATACCAAACCCAGGCAAAGACATCACTAAAAATATAATTACAGACAATATCCCTTATAAATATAGATGCAAAATCCTCAACAAATATTAGCCAATATAATGCAATGCAAAAAAAAAAAAACAAAACCAAACCCAAAACGTGGTGTTACAATAAGTTGAAATGAACTCAATAGCACATATTAACAATGAAGATTTAGAATTGACTTGTAGTCAATATATAATTTTTTTGCTGGTTTTTTTGTGTTTTTTTTTAATATAGAATTTTTAAAGAAAATTTTTATTTTCTACTAGTTTACTTACAAAATTTGTATATAGTTTTTCACACTGGATCTTTCCTATTTCCTTTACCCACTTTTCTCTCTCCCCATCAAATTGTGTGACCCTATAATTACCACTTACCCTCCTGACCATCCCCACTCCTCTTCTCTCCCCACTCCATCTTGGATCCTCATACACGTTTTACTAGTTATCTTTGTATTTCTGTAATAATGGTCTTATACAGTATTTTTCCTTATGGTCCTGAGTTAGTTCACTTAGCATGTTCTGTAGTCTCTCCCAAGTTAGGTAGTAACACACACACACACACACACACACACACACACGCACACAACATGCCTCTGGAAACTCTATGAACTTTGATAAGGCTACCAAATAGTTCATTCTTCTCAGCGTCAGCCAGTTTGTTGTGATCTACACAGTCAAATGCCTTTGCATATTCAGTGAAACAGGCATCCTCTTGTACTCTCTGCTTTCAGCCAAGATCCATCTAATATTAGCTATATATCCTTAGTACCATGGCTTCTTCTAAACCCAGCCTGAACATCTGGCAGTTCTCTGTTGATGTGCTGTTCCAGTTGTTTTTGGATAATTTTCAGTAGAATCTTTCTTGCATGTGGTATTAATGTTACTGTTCTATAATTTCCATACTCTGTCAGGTCTTCTTTCTTTAGAATGGAAATAAATTGGATCTCTTCAAGTCAGTTGGCCAGGTGGTCGTCCCCCAGATTTCTTGAACAACTTGGTAAATGCATCCAAGGCAGCATCTGTTTGTTGAAATATGTCACTTGGTATGCCATCAATTCCT